CCTGATGGATTTAGAGACAAGTAATAATTGTTTACAGAAAATATTTAGAGCTACAGCTAAATACATAAACACTTGAATGTTTCTTAAGTTTATTTGCAGGAGGACCCCTTTGAAAGTTGGCTGAGATCTCTCTAATATTTTTATTTTTCTTTTTTCTTCGTCTTTGACCTTTCTTTTTTTCTGTTTTTTGTTTGTTTGTTTCTGTTGTACAAAATAATAAACTATAAACGCTGATTTTCAAAAAATGGAATATCTTTATTTTAGATTTACATAGATATATACAGAATAAATGACATTTCAATGGTAGGCTACTGTGATAATGAAGAAAATCCATGTCAGGCAGGCTGAAACAAAGCCTTCACAAAGTAGGGCGTTTTAAGCAGAGGGTGATCGACACCATCTGCTTTTATTTTCTTACACTTAAAGCTTCCAAACCAAAAATAGAGATCCTGAGATTCTTTTCTTAAAGAAATGAAATAATGTCAGAAAGATGTTGCTGCTGTTTAGCAACAGCAGGCGGCGACTGAAATCTGACAAAATAACATCTAAAGTTAGTCACATTTCACCTGCAACTCTGAGAAGACGTTATTGGACAGAAGATGGCATAAAGCTGTTTTTGAATTAGGCAGATATGAGCTCTGCAGTGGAGATGTATATCTAGAGTAGTTTCTAATAATAAATGTGCATCTGTTTGGTTTCTCACTCCAAGTGTCTTTATCGCATGTTTAAATATTAAGAGAGCAGAAAAGGGAGCAGTAAGTCCTCTAGAGGCATTTTTCAGTTTTCATGATGGGCTTAGGTTCTGAAGAAGTGTCTTAAGCAGCGACAGTCCTGCACTTCATAATGTTCCAGAATAGATGAATCCCTTCATCCATTATTTTCACAAAACATATTTGAGCATGTTAAGAGATGTCAGCATCACAGTTCTGTCCTCACAGCTCGCAGCGGTTGTCGTCAGTCTTATAGCGGTCCATGATACTCAGGACATCGTCCAGGATGGATGGGCCCAGATCCAGGTCCAATCTGGCCATGGAGTCGGACCGCAGCACCCCAGATGAGGCTGTGATGGCTGCCGGATGGAAGGCGGCGCAGGGCGAGTCGCTCTGCTCGCTCCTCAGGTCCTCATTGCTCAGGCCAGCGTCAGAGTCCAGGCTAAGGCCCCGGCGAACATCTTGGAGCCCGCAGATCTCAGACATGGAGTCTTCAGAGGAGACCTCGGAGAAGGAGCCGGAGGAAGGGACGAGCCTGCGCATGGTTGGAGGGATGGCTATGTCTCTGCAGGGCTCTGAAGCCACACCAGGCGACTGGAGGTCATACTGGCTTGGTTCAGGATGCTGCTGAGGCTGCAGAGGGGGAGGAGCGTGGTCATCCAGGTGGAGGCGCGGCGGTTTGGGCGGGGCCTGCTCGTGGGCGATGGAAACTGGCATGGAAACAGTGTTTTTCAGCAGGCCGTTAGAGGAGTGCTGGTAGTGGAAGCCGTTGTAGGCGTAGCTGTGAGTCTCGTGTCTGGCAGCGAACCCCTCGCCCATGTGTCTCTCCACGCTGTGGGAGCGGGCGTGGCCGTTCTGCGGCCGGCTCAGGGATGGCAGCATGTCCATTTTACCCTGGAGGAAACCGATGTCCCCAAACATGTCCCCTTCGCCTTCAGGTCCTACGTGTGCGCTGTGACGAACGTCGCCTAGCGGGGGGCTGATCATGTCCCCTGAGAGGATGTCCCGCAGCTTCTGCCTCTTACCTTTCTTAGGGGTCGTAGTTTTCAGGTAGATGGGTGTCTTTGCTGGCATTTTTCTTTAGAAAATACGCTCACTGAATTCAATGCCTCTTTATGCAGAAATCTATCAAGGGTTTATATGCCAGGGGAATATTTAGGTCTCTCCCTGTAAATATAGCAGCTCCTCAGGGTGACTTGTGACTCAGAGGTGAGAGGAGAAAGGCATTGACCTCAAATCAGCTCCCACTTTCTTCCCCTCCTGCACAGAAAAGCCATATCCATGAGATAAAAGAATGAAAAATGTGATTTTTGTACGCAGTCTGGTCCTCTGAGGTCAGCAGAAGCTTCTGGAATGTAGCATCAAAACGCTGGAGATCTATGAAGGGACACAAAAAAGAAGAGGGAATCAAAAAGAGGTTCAAAGATATGTAGAGAAAAGGAAAAAACACAGGGAGATAGATGAGGTGGAGGGGAAGGGAGGAGGTAGCAAGAATGAAGGCTGGGGGAGATTTACAGCCTTCTCTCCATAGCCAGAGGCCATGTGACCGACCCCAGTGTTTGCAGAGCGGGGTCTGTTTCCCCAAAATGTGTGCAAACGTCTGAGTTGGTGCACGAAATTGCTCTAAAAGACCGAACACCCTCAGGAACAATTTCCTTTTTGAGTTTCAGCTTTCTCGCTGCTCTGCAGGCTGTTATCACCTCCTGAGAAAACCCCGCCTGAAGCTGCACAGAGCATGTGATGGGTTCATGGTCGGACTGTCACAAAGGAATGTTTTCTCTATTCAAGTACCAACAACTCTTTTTCTGTCACAATTGAACCCAGTTTTATCTGTTATGTAAAATTGACGACTGCTGTTCAATAAACAAATGGAAGAGACCAAACTAATGTTCTGCACAAAGCTTCTGCTTGTACTGTTAAAAACTTGAAAGTTGAGTTTCATGGCTCACAGGTTCACATTTGGCTCATATCTGTGCAGGATTGAAGCGCAGACAGCGGCCGGGAGGAGGTTTTATTCTCAGCAACATGATATTCTGGTATCCGTCACAGGACAGCATCAGCAAAACAAAGCTGCTATGAAAGTTCAGACAGGGGCCACCATCAGGTTGGATCTTACAGTGCAGACCTGCAGCCACATCAGTGATACTTTATATTTATATTTGGGTAGAAAGTTCATGTTAAAATGTAAGAACTGATTTGATATTTGTGACTTTTTCCAACTCAGCAGATTTCTACCATGAAGAAATACAAAATTATCCACTTTCCAATCTTTACAGTCTATAGCATCATGTTGTGGGAGTTTTGTGCTGTCAGTGGTTATGAACTAATAAGGCTTCAGCTTTTTTCTAAATTTCTTTACCCTCACCTCAATTTAACAGCTAGAATATCTGGAAAAGCCTTACCTAAGCATTGGAAAATGTTTAAAAGCCTCATCTTTAGCGGGATATTAATAAACTCAGTGGAATATAGTGGTCAAACATCCTGCTAAAATATTTCCAGAAGCTTGATGGTGAACAGGATTGAGCTTATATTGAAATATTAAGCTGGCTCTTTGTAAATAATATACTCTGTATGTGTAATTCTGACCCAGTGCAGGAGAATGAAGCTTACATACATCATTGAAATCCACAAAAGGAATAACATTCAAGCCCACAACGTATTGACGTATCAAGACCGTATTACAGATGGAGATTAAATGCATAAAATAATTCCTTGGTCGAATCATTTGAACACAATTAGGTGTTTTTTTTTTTTTAAACTCCTATTGTCCAAAGGTACAGTTTATCTTGTGAACAATTAACAGACACTTCATGTCAGTATTATTATCATCTCTTTAAGTCACATCCTGTCTCAACTTGCAGGCGCTGGATAAACATGACTCCAGCTGAGTGGAGATCAGATCTATCAAGGTCAACATCTGCTCAGCTTCGACTCAGCTTTTTTTTGGGGGGGGGTATATGGGAGGGTCTACATTTATAGGACATTAATTAAGCAATAAAGCCTAAAAAACAAGAAACATTAATCTGTAATAATCTGCCATAAAATGCAATTTTTTCAACCTAAATAAATAACTGCTCTAGCAGATTCCTGGTCTTAAATGCTAATTTCCCAACCTGGTTGAGACAAACCTTACAGCATTTTCATGACGTAAATAAAAAGGGTGTGCCTAAGGTAGGACTATTTAACAATAATTACAGCTGGAATGATAATGCCTCTAATTGCCAAATAATACAAATCGACCTCGAAGTCCAATATGGCTGCCACATCAATCATGATTAATGATTAATACTGTAGAAAAATGTCTGCTCCTGCTCGAAAAATAGCATCTGGATGTCCTGTTACATTTTGTCAAAGTGTCACATCTGGCGTTATTTTCGTATAATGGTGTAGCAATGCTTTAGGAGAAGAACAGGTTTTAATGTTTTCACCCTTAAATGTAAAAGTCTGAAAGCTGGAGGTGATACTCTGTTCTAAGCATGACTCTGATCTGTTGGACTACTGGGTTTAGTTCTTACCAATCACTTGGGTCACCGAATACGTGGCCCAAAGTTAAAAAAGACAGAAACTATCACACTTGCAAATAGTTTACTGTAAATATCACTTAATTTAAGCCTCTCTACCCTAATTAGGTCTCACAAATGTACAGTTTTTTATGTAAAATAAGAACATTTTGGTGGCAAGTAAGGTATAGCTGTAAGTTGTAAGAAATAAACCAAAATTAAATAAAGTTTGGTTCAGGAAGCTTTTTAAAGCTCGGGGAGGACTCAGAGTAGAGCCGCTGCTCCTCCACATCGAGAGGAGCCAGTTGAGGTGGCTCAGGTATCTGGTTAGGATGCCTCCTGGACATCTCCCTGGTGAGGCATTTCGGGCACCTCCCACCGGGAGGAGGCCCAGGGGGAGACCCAGGACACGCTGGAGGGACTATGTTTCTCTGATGGCCTGGGAATGCCTTGGGATCCCCCCGGTGGAGCTGGCCCAAGTGGCTGGGGAGAGGGACGTCTGGGCCTCCCTACTGAAGCTGCTACCCCCACAGCCCGACCCCAGATAAGCGGAAGATGAAGGTGAATGAATGGATAATTTTTTTTATTTTTCTTTTGCAGTATAAATTAATGAAGCAGATAGAGAAGGTCTAGCCACACTTGTCAGACTTTCTAAACCAAATAGGTACAAGAAACCCACCAGAAAACATTTGCAACTATCCATCTGCTTGCATTATGACTCCTTTTTAACCGAACTTTACCTTAGAATGAGTTGGTTGCCACTACCTCAATGAATCCTTCAGGTTTTAAATTAAGAAATTCATAAAATGTTTAGAATAAATTTGTTGCTCTGTAGCAAAGTTGACGAGATTTTAGCTACCAGCGAGGCTAGTGGGTCCAGCAGCAGGATACAGTGACGTTTCTATGGAGAAAACATTCAGCAAACCCTTGCTTCTTCTCCATGCTTCGTGCTATATAGCAGGGAATAGTCCACCCTGTTCTCCTCGGCTTGCTCTTTAGCAACTAACGAATCTGCTGCCTAGCTTACATCTAAGAGTCCGCTGCAAACCGTGCTTCCTCACTTGATCAGCATTGTCTGCTTCCTGCCTCCTCAGCAACTTAATTATGCAGTTTCTTCTTCAAATACAAAGACATACAGTATATTGTAACCTTAGATTATCCTTATCTCCTTCAAGTGAAAAAATAAAAACTACATTGTAGATGATCAAACTAAAAAATCAGCATTCATTTGCTGGATCAGCAAGGCTGTCAACTCATCTGTCTGATCTGCTAATGTAATTTTTTTTTTTTTTTGCAAAGTTTTTAGCTTCTGAATCACAATAAGCAGCGAGAGCGAATTGAAAATAACTGCTAACTGTTTAAACATGCTTTATTCCTAATCAGTCTTAGTTACTTTGAAAGGGTTAACAAAGTAAGATAGACTAATGATACTTGCAAGAAAAGGATGTGAGGAGCCAGAATGTCTATAAAAGGTACTAGAAGTATCAAATGATTGCAACATGAGTTCAGACATGTGCAACTTTAACCTTGAACAACACAAGAGAGTAATTGTTTGATCGGTGTGGATAATGCTGTGTTGCAAACGGCACTGACGATCTTCCAGGACTGTTCCTGCAAAATCTTGTTACAAAATCTCTCCTCAAAGAAGACGACTGGTTCATGCCTGTAAATACCGGACTAATTCCTGCAAGCAAAAACATATAAAACAAGACAGAGAATAAAAACGGATTCCCACAAACATCCCAGTAATTAGCCACAAAGCAACTAGAAACATGTAAGACGGCGGCTGAATCCAATTCCAGTGTCTGAAAGTCGGAAAGAACAAAAACAATCAGGGTTTGGTCCTTCTTTCAACCTAAGGAGTAATAAAGCTCTGCAAGTCCGAACCAAAATAATGGAACAAATGAATCATGTGGCTCTCGAACAAACTGAAAGGAGGACATTAAATGCTGAGCTCATAAACACACCCAGACTAAATCTGGAACAATTTTGACCAAAACAACAGAGATATTAACGCCAGAACCAGTCAGAACTGGTTCAGATGAACCAGTGATGCAACAGATTATCTGCAAAGTTGGACCTTCTGCTGCAAAACTTCACTTTTACAGCCAAACTATGATACTAAAAAGTTATTTTATCATAGCTGTGTACATATAAAGATTTGTTGGAATAAAAAAAGATAATTACCATAACAGGAATGTAGAATTTCTTTTTAATAAAGTTTGTTCTTTAATATAATTTAAGGAAATGCTCTCAACTGAATTCATAGAGTAATGAGGACCAATTGGGTTTAAATATAACAAGTACTTAAAATCCATCATTAAATATTGTATGACGTACTTTCAAACAGAACCTTTCATCCGATTCACTGAATGTTCGATTCTTTCTCTGCCAAATAAATAACATCCAAGGAGCTCATTTTCAACTGGCAGCATCTCTGAGGCCAAACCTGATCTTATTAAATATTTTCTGCTTTTATGGCCTCAATTAAGTCTGATTAAATCCGTTTTACTGGTTTTTCAAAGACCGTTCTCTCAGCCTATGCAGCTATTATTTGGATCAAAACAGATACAGCTACATAAAAATAAATCCTACAAAATATGATAAGAGGTTTTAGAAAACGTCTGAGATATGCGTAAAATTCACAGAAAATTCACAGTAGATCAATAACAAGCAGGTTATATTCTGGGTTATTACTTATTTGCTTTTTGAGTTTTGCTTTTCTTTAACAAATGAATCAAAATGCAAAATGTTTACCGTCTGTATTCCTCTGGAGTCTTACTTGTCTTAAATTACTGTAAACTGTTCGCATACAGAGTGTTTTTTGCTCCAATATCAAATAAAAGATGTCATCCGTTTATCTGTCATGTCAAACCT